TTTTAGCATAAAGGGCTGTTGAATTTTGTCAAAGGCCTTCTCTGCATCAATTGAGATAATCATGTGGTTTTTGTCTTTGGTTCTGTTTATGTGGTGAATTACGTTTATAGACTTGCGTAGGTTGAACCAGCCTTGCATCCCCGGGATGAAGCCTACTTGATCATGGTGGATAAGTTTTTTGATGTGCTCTTGCAGTCGGCTTGTCAGTATTTTATTGAAGATTTTTACGTCTATGTTTATCATGGATATTGGCCTGAAGTTTTCTTTTCTTGTTGAGTCTCTGCCGGGTTTTGGAATCAGGATGATGTTAGTCTCATAAAATGATTTGGGAAGAATTCCCTCTTTTTGTATTGTTTGGAATAGTTTCAGAAGGAATGGTACCAGCTCCTCTTTGTGTGTCTGGTAGAATTCGGCTGTGAACCTGTAATGGGATACTTTTAAGGAATATTTTAACTGATTCACTCATCAAAATTAAGACATTCATATCAAACACAACTTGTGACATGAGTTGTGTTTGTTGCAGTTTTAGTGTTCTAAGTTTTAAAAATAACTATTTTTCAGGCATATTAATGAGGATAAGAGAAAAACGGAAGCTCAAAAGCAAATTTTTGATGTTGTTTATGAAGTAGATGGATGCCCAGTAAGTATTCTTCTTTAACAGTTATGAATTTATCTTCTCTTTGTTAATGAGGTTTCTGTGGTTTTAATGTAAATATTATCTTGGCACTATTTTCTTTTACATTGCAACTTCTTAAAAGTTACTTGATACCAAGTGATTTCTTTTGTTAATATTTTCAACCTATACAGGCTAATCTTTTATCTTCTCACCGAAGCTTAGTACAACGGGTTGAAACAATTTCTCTAGGTGAGCACCCCTGTGACAGAGGAGAACAAGTAACTCTATTCCTCTTCAATGATTGTCTAGAGGTAAAGATGTACTTCACATAGTATAACAACACTTCTGAATTTTGTAACTTCCCTGAATATTTAAAACCCAGCTTTAATTGAAGCATAATGTCGAATTTTAAAGTAAACTCAAATAATAATTTCTTTAAAAAATTGAGAACAATTGATTTAATACTGTTAATAGAATGCTTTTAGAAAAAAGTGTACTATTAAGAAGTGATCTTGAAATCATGATAAATTTTCATGATTTCAAATCTGTTAAAATGAAAATTTATTTCCGTGTAAATAAATGCTTAGGTCAAGAATTCTGAGAACTTCTTGTTTCTATGTATATTTATTCAAGATTCATAAAATAGTTCTGAGGTTTTTGAAATTTAAGTAGATTTTTTTCAGTAATGGTGAGGTTGTATTTTGTTGAAGAGGGAGATCACTTGATGATTTACTATCATGAATTCTTTATGATTCCTCAATTCTTCTTAAATCAGCAGGTTTTAGAGTAAATGAGGAGTCAGATGGGGTATAATGAATCTAATTCTAAAATTTTTACGTATCCATATTAGATTTTCTTTTTATGTTACCCCTACGAGCAAATTGAATCAGGTGTGTGTTTTTTTTAACTCGTTCATCTTTCTAATATGTATTTTTAAACAACAGTAGTGAGTGATAAAAAGAAGTGCAGTTTTCCTTCATTTCAGAAGAGAAAAATGTTCATTTTGATAAAGCAGACATTAATAAGAAGACTCATTTGACTTTTCTGTTACTGGAAACTTTCTGTTACCTTCATCAAAATGTTTAAAGAGTTTCCTTTTTCTTTTTCTTTTCTTTCTGTCTTTTTTTTTTTTTTTTTTTTTTTGAGATAGGTTCTCACTCTCATTGCCTAGGTTGGTGTGCAGTGGCAAGATCACAGCTCATTGCAGTCTTGACTTCCTGGGCTCAGGTGATTTTCTTACCCAACATCCCAAGTAGCTGGGACTATAGGCACTCGTCACCATGTCCAGCCTATTATTTTTAGCAGAGACTGGTTTTGTCATGTTGCCCAGGCTGGTTTTGAACTCCTGGACTCAAACAATCTACCCACCGCAGCCTCCCAAAGTGTTGGGATTACAGGCGTAAGCCACCGCACCTGCCTCCTTTTTTTTTTTTTTTTAATGTCTTATATGCTTTCTGTTTGTCCTTTCCTACTTCACTTCTATCAAAGTGTTGCCTTCTCATATATCACATACATTATTATTTATAGTATGTGACAATCTCATAATTGACAAGACAATCTCAACAATTCATGTGCAGAACAGTTACAAGTACAATAAAATCTCACCAAAAATTCACTTTTGTTAAATGCAGAGTTTTGTTGTTATGAGGCTAAATGAAAAATGATACTTTTCTTTGGTCAATCATGTTACAAAAAGCCCAAAAGTAAAACAACTATACGGCATTGACCATATCCTGAAGTGAGAAACTGAAAAAATCTTGAGGCAGGTAATTCTCAACCACCTATTTCCCTCATAAAGAGGACTTTAGCCTGCCCTGATTGAGAGCAGAGGTTAGGCGGAGTCAATTTTCAATTATATGTTATCTGGCTTCGCATCGTCATGGGGTTTAACTGTATATAGTTTATCAGTACTTTATTCGTTTGCTTCTATTAAAGCTTTTTTTATAGATTTTTCCTGTTAGATTCCCTAGATTAGCTTGCTTTATTCATCTAAAAGGTTAGATTATCTCTATTTCTTTGCTAATCCTTTCTGGTTTTTATCCCTTATTCCTGACAAAGCTGTGGCTTACATTTTTTATCTTATATTCCCTCCAAATTCCTTGAAGTCTTCTGTGATTGGTTCATTGACTTGCCATACACTTTAATTTCTGGTATTGGTCATTTCCTGTAGCTCCCAAGTCCCTGGCTTCTCATTTCCTTTACCTTCTTGAATCTATTGACTTTTTGTTCTATCTCTTTTAGCTTCCCTGTCTTAGAATCACTTCAACAAAAACTGCTTTATTTATAACATGAAATTTGGACTTCAGAATTCATAATAAATGAAAAAAAAAAAAAGAAAAACCTGTAATCCTAAATAAACTTGTATTCTTTAGCTTATTTGTTTAGGAAAAGTAAACAAAACTCTTAGTAAACTGGGAATGGAAATTATGGTACATTCTTAACTGATAAAAACGTATAGCCAGCATCATATTTAATAATAAAAGTTAGAAACATTCAAAATGGGTAAAATCTATATTTTCTTAAGGACAGGTTATTTTATACTGAATCTCAACTAATTTTAAATTTAAGGATATATTTAACTTTTAAATGTTTTATCCATATTTTAAGGGTTTTTTTTTTTTGTTAAGCACTGAAGTACTAGCATTTGTCATCAAATTAACACTTGTTATTGTTTTTCCTTTTTAAAAATAAAGCTTAAAATCATTTAATTATTTTGCTTAGCCAACTATTCCTCTTCTCCTGAATCCCAGGCCTTTTATTTAAGATTCCGTCATTCCTTGATCCTATCGCTTCTCATCATGTTTCTAGTTCTTTCATACCTCTTGAACGTTTTGCAAAATATCCATTGGCCTGTTTTCCTGACTTTTGAATTTTTCTTAGGTAAACATGAGCATTTCTGCTACACAAGTACATGTTTGACTTTTGTTACATAGTAACTCTGCTTCTTATAACAACTCTGTAATAAATAATAACTAAATGAGTTTCATATAGATCTATGTGATTAGTGCTAGTTTATTTTTTAAGTATTTTGTCCTTATTTTTATTCATTTTATTGACTGTTACTTTATTTTCTACAACCAGATAGCAAGAAAACGGCACAAGGTTATTGGCACATTTAGGAGTCCTCATGGCCAAACCCGACCCCCAGCTTCTCTTAAGCATATTCACCTAATGCCTCTTTCTCAGATTAAGAAGGTACTGGACATAAGAGAGACAGAAGGTATGCTGGTCGGATAAATTCTTGGTTATATAAAAATAGTTTGTATTCATTGTAGGTTGGATTTACTCCATTATGGCTTTTTTCAGTTGGTAAATTAAATATAGTTGATTAGACTGCTAAAGTAATTGTTCTTGCACCTGTATCTTAACTCCATCTCTAGGAACAGAATTGACTTTTTGTTTTTTTCAGATGAAAGTACTATCTCAACCTATAGGATACCCTCATCTTTTAAAGGTCAAAGAGCTTTAAATGGCTATGTATTAAGATAGCGCTGTAGCCTAGCCTATTCCCACACCAAAACTTATCTTTTTGGTTCCTTCAGAATGCACAATAACCAGTCTATTACCTGTACCCCGTCTTAACACTTTCATTGTTGCCAAGAGCTGCATTTTTATGGCTATGTTTAAGGTATGGATCAGGAATAGATGTGAGTGCAATAAATAAACCGGAGTAACTGGTAGAGTTAATATGGGGTCCTATGGTGTATTAAGGAACATTTTACTCTAAATTTTGGTGGTGTTAGAGAGCAGGTTCTCTGAATGCCTGAAATTGCTGAAAATTTATACCTACCTACAACAGTGTCATCTGTTTGACACCTTGTGGTGTATGTGTATGGCCATATTTTGAATGTTAGGCATGTGTTTTTACGATATTAGCTCTTGCCATTACCTATTCCTCTAATAGTGAAAGGTTTCAGTTCATGAGAAATTATTTATTTTATTTTATAAGAAACGATTTTTTTTTTTTAATGAAGTCTTACTCTATTGCCCAGGCTGGAGCGCAGTGGCATAATCTTGGTTCACTGAAGCCCCCCTCCGGATTCTCCTCCCTCAGCCTCCCGAGTAGCTGGGATTACAGGTGTACCTTGTCACGTCTGGCTAATTTTTTGTGTTTTTACTAGAGATGGGGTTTCACCATGTTGGCCAGGCTGATCTCGAATTCCTGACCTCAAGTGATTCTCCTACTTGGACCTTCCAAAGTGCTGGGATTACAGGCATGAGCCACTGTGCCCAGCCAAGAAATGATTCTTTTTTTTTTTTTTTTGAGATGAGGTCTCCTTCTGTTACTAGGCTGGAGTACAGTGGCACAATCTTGGCCCACTACAACCTCCGCCTCCTATGTTCATGCGATTCTCTTGTCTCGGCCTCCCGAATACCTGGGATTACAGGCATGCACCACCACACCTAGCTAATTTTTGTATTTTTAGTAGAGAGGGGTTTCACTGTGTTGGCCAGGATGGTCTCGATTTCCTGACCTCATGTATCTGCCCACCTCGACCTCCCAAAGTGCTGGGATTACAGGCACGCGCCACTACACCCGGCCAAGAAATGATTCTTAAAGAAAAATTGAACAGCAACTTATTGCTCTTTTCACTTAGTTGTCAAACTCTGGATTAATTAAAGCTTACGTAGTATAGTTACCGTTGGTGTATCCATGGGGACTGGCTCCTGGTCCTCCTCTGGTTACCAAAGTCCAGGATGCTCAAGTTCTGGATGTAAGATTGCACAGTGTTTGCATATAATCTATACATATCTTCCCATATACTTTAAGTCATCTCTAGGTTACTTACAGTACCTACACAATAAATACTGTGCAAACAGTTGTTTTACTCTATTGTTTAGGGAATGATGACAAGAATAAAAAGTCTATACATGTTCATACGGATACAATTTTTTTTTCGACTATTTTGGTCAGGAATTGATTGAATCCACAAATGCTTATCCCACAGATAGAGAAGACTGACTATATTCTTGTTTTTAAAATCTTCAATTTTGGATTTTAATTATGGCAGACTTTGTTTAAAATAGGTTGAATTTTAGCATCTTGGTCCTGCAACTTTTGTAACACTTTTTGTATTTGGAAATTTAACTTCTTTGAACGTGATTTAAATTGAGTAATTGAATTCTTATAACTTGAATTCTAGAATTCTAAGAAATGTTATAATTTAATTTTTTTCTTTACTTAAATTTTATCATAGAAAATATTAAATGATGTGTAAAATATAATTCCTTACATGGTATACTATATTATCTTGTCAGTGCTTCAACTTAGTATGGTGATGTTCTTTGTCTTATTAAAAATAGAGGGGAGGAGGAAAGTGGACAACAGATAGTTCGTTTCATTGGAATTTCATTGCTCTGAGGGAACTAAACTTGCATACAACTGTCGTTTTCCAAGGAGTGACACTTAATGTTTATGGTTATTCTGGAACCCTAGATTGCCGTAATGCTTTTGCCTTGCTTGTGAGGCCACCAACAGAGCAGGCAAATGTACTACTCAGTTTCCAGATGACATCAGATGAACTTCCAAAAGAAAACTGGCTAAAGATGCTGTGTCGACATGTAGCCAACACCATTTGTAAAGCAGATGCTGTAAGTTCTTTAAAAAAGCAGTATTATAACGAAAGTTTAAATTTCATGACAATGTGTTTAGACTAAGCCTGTACATTTTTAATGACTTGTTTATTATGAATGGAAAGTTTTAGTTTTGTGTTTATTTAAAAAACTGGTTTAGTAAGTTGTTTTTTAATGTACCCTGCGGTTTTCATTGGTGCTCTTAGACATGGCTATGAAATAGACAGTATTTTGTTTTTTGTTTTTTTTTTGTGGAGATGGAGTCGCTATATTGCCCAGGCTGGAGTGCAGTGGCGTGATCTTGGCTCACTGCAACCCGTACCTCCTGGGTTCAAGTGATTTTCCTGCATTAGCCTTCCACGTAGCAGGGACTACAGGCACACCCTCCATTCCCGGCTAATTTTTTTTTATTTTAGTAGAGAGGGGTTTCACCGTGTTGCCCAAACTGGTCTTAAACTCCTGAACTCAGGCAATCTGCTCACCTTGGCCTTCCAAAGTGCTAGGGTTATAGCTATGAGCCACCACATCTGGGCCAAAAAAAAAAAAAAAAAAAATCTTATTGAAAGCAATAGATAGCTAGTAGCATGTTGCCAATCTATTTTTTTCATGCGAACCTCTTAAAATCAAATGCTATCATAAATATATAATTATCATTGTACTATACAGATTAAAGTGAAAATAGATGAGAGAATAAAAATGTTGACATTAAATGACATGCCTGAATCAGATATCCTTTCCTTGGATGAAATGCAGGTTCCTGAAAGATAATTTGATTCCTTTTTCTCTATATATATGAGAGAGAGAAAGACATGACAGATATAGACCCCTTACTCTTTGCACAAATGGCATAGATTGAAGAGAATGTGCTGATACAGTAGGTGACCCTTTTCAGTACAATGGTACTGTAACTGAGATTGCATTGGGTGTTTCTGTGGAAATGAAGCCTAGTGTAATCATAATGTAATCATAGTGAAGTGTGAAACCTTGGAAGACATTTAGATATGTGGTTTATAAAGTAAGTATTCATTGATGAAAACCTCCTTCCAAAGTGTTTAGAACAATAATCAGACTGTGTGTGTGTGTGTGTGTGTGTGTGTGTGTGTGTATGTTTTAGATTTCTATGAGCCAAGAATATGTTCTTATAAATAAAAAATTGTTGCACAAAAGATTCAGAGAGGGAAATACAGTGCTAGCACATACAATAGAATGCTAGCTAGAAAAATGATGTAGATCACTTTCATTATAAATCTTACAAAACTGCTAATTATACAATTTTTTTTCTAGGTTTCCACATATAAAATGGTTTTCTTTACCTGTATTAATTCCTTATTGCAGAAATTACTCCTGCTCTTACCAGAATGTCAGACTAGATAGCTTATAGAGTCCTTTCCAAGCTTATAACCCTAATATTTAAATGTAATGTTAATAGAAAATGTTTCTTACAATATAACTTATTGAATTACTAGCCACATGATGGCTAATAATACTAGAACTGAAATATAAATAACATATGGAAAAAATTTATAAAGTAAAATTAGCCACAAGATGGCAGCAGATGTTTAACTATGTTCTGACTTATCCTCATACCACAAAATTCTTTAAATCTGTTGAAATTTTGTTCTTAAGAAATACATTTGTAAATTCAGATACTTAGTGACTTCAGTTGAGCCCTTTTTTGCATTTAAAATTCTACATATAGTAAATTTTTATCAAGTCCTGAGTCAGTGTCTTAAAAAAATTTTCCCATGTTGAAGATAATATGTTTCTACATATGTATATGTATACAAAAGATGTGAGAAGATATAAAAATCTCTGCTTCTTTGCATTAGTAGTTTTGTTTTTGGTACCCTGTATATATATTTTTGGTACCCTAAGTAACTTGAGCTTTCTTAATTAAAAGAGTAAAATAAGCACAACTGTTTTATTCTATACTATTTCATTTGTCACATCCACTCTTTAATGATGTAAGAATTAAAATTATCAGGCTGAAAGAAAACTTAATCTGATGCCATTAAGTTTGAATCTAAGGCCAAGAGCATGACTAATTCTTGGTCAAACCATCTTAATAGTTTTTCTCCACTTGGATGTCATGTTCCATATTTTGTTATTTCAGAATCTAAAGATTAAAGTTTAAATCTATTGAAGATCTTATGAATCAGAATCCTTATGTATGTATTTTTGGTCTGTTGCCAGCATGTAACCTTTAATTGCATGGTCTGTACTCTAACATTCATATATTGCCAAAGATAAGCTGATGGCCTTGCGGAAGCCATTATAGATTTCTAACCTCTAATGTCAGAAGTATAATTTTATTAATAAATAAATTTAAGCAATGATGCCTTCTTCCCAAGTTTGGTTAGTTTAAAAATAACTTGATAATTAAACGACATGTGCTACCATTTAGTACTTTTGCTACTAACTTTATATTTCTTTTGAAATTTGCAAAGCATGTCCTACATTTTGATCAAATCACGATGGGCTATTTAAGAGTTGCAATCTTCATTCTAAGTCTTTAAACCTGTAAGTAGAATTTCTAACTGCATGAGGAGTAATAGACCAGCAGTTGGCCACATATTAAAAGAGTTTGTGCTTGTGAGCCAATAATATTTATAATGAAGTTAATATGATTTGTATTTATAATTTTTCTTCCATTGATTAGGCATACATAGTTGTTAGTATAAATGTCTATTATTGGTACCACTTTAATTTGGCCAAATCAGAAGCTCTAAGCTATGGGCATGATTACAGAGTTTGAGGAAAATACTGAGGCAATAGGCCAAAGGGAGGGGTCACATGATTGTAGATAGCACTTGAAGACTAGGGTAACAGGGCAGCTTAGGGAATGGAAAGAAGTGTCTGATAACTCACAAGTAGGCAGGTTAACTGGCTTAAGATGTCAAATGCTAGAAAGTTTCCTGTGAATTAACACCCATGAACAGGATTTCAAAATCTATAGCTGAGGCTCAGTTTCTCCTGAAATTAATATTATATATCTCAGTGGGAGAGATTACTACTTTTTAATCTTGAACTCAGCGGGTCTGTCTTCAGGTACATGTGAATTTGGAGTTGATTGAAAAACCCCTGCCCTTCCAAAGCTTCTTTAATGCTTGACATACTTTGAATAAGTCATAAAATGTTTTTGGAATTAAGTGTGTCATTAAAAATGAGTGTTCTCAAGTCCAGCAGAACTTAAAAGTAAATAAAAATGAGTTTTGGGTAATCTATAAATTTCACTTTTTTTTTAAATTTTATTTTTTAGTTTTTGTCTTAGTACGTATTTTATTTTAGAAATTTGGAGAAAGAGACTAAAAAGCAGAAAGATTTTTCTTTTTTTTTTTTTTTTTAAGAGAGAGAGAATTATTGAAAAAGAATGAATAGCAAAGAAACCTAGGACTACTGAAGATAAATTTCCCCCACTTTGCACTTTTGCCTATGGTTTACCCTATTTACCTTTTTTTGAGTAGATAGCACTAAAGGAAGTACTTCAATATTTATATCTTAGCAAAAATAATAGATTTTACTATATTCTTAGCCGCTAGTGAACTACCTATATGTTTACCCTTTCAGTCATTCTGAACCCAGAATCTCCTAGAAAGTTAAAAAATCTTATATCTGTCTTCCCCTCCCCTAAGTCAGAAGCAGTGTGTTAGTTCATTGAGAGAAAACATGAAGCCATTGGCTCCATTTTTAGTTCATCAGTGGTTATTAATACTTAGTTGTAGTTAACAACAGGAAAAAATCGAGAAGCTCCTTTATTGGCATTTGCTAAGAATTTAAATTTCAGCGGCCTTCATTATAAAGACCATTTTAGCAAAATTAAACACACTTGGAGTTTAGTTTCATTACATGTAAAAATTGATACATTTTGCATCTAAATATATAAAGAGTAAATTTAAGTTACCAATATTTAGTTTAATAGTCATGCTATGATTTTAACCATCTATTAAATTGAAAGATAATATTTGTACATAAGAAAAAAAATCACACATATAACGGTATACTGCAGTAAAATATGTCTCACACCCCTATCTGGCTAATCTGTCTTGCCAGGAGTATGACTTTTGATACTTTCTAGAAATATAAGCATAGACATATGTACATTCTTCAAAAATGTATTTCTTGTTTTTGTGTTTTGTTTGTTTGTTTTGTTTTGTTTTTTGTTTTGTTTGGAAACAGAGTCTTGCTCTGTTACTCAAGCTGGAGGGCAGTGGCACACTGCAACCTCCGCCTCTGAGTTCAAGCAAGTCTCATGCTTTAGCCTCTTGAGTAGCTGGGATTGCAGACGTGCGCCACCATGCCTGTCTAATTTTTGTATTCTTAGTAGAGACAGGGTTTCGTCATGTTGGCCAGGCTGAATTCCTGGCTTCAAGTGATCTGGTCTCCTAGGGGCCTCTCAAAGTGCTGAGATTACAGACGTGAGCCACCATGCCTGGCCAAAAATGTATTTATTAGATTTACTCCTAAGTAGTTTTCTCTTTAGAATGCAGTCATAAATGGATATTTTACCTGTTTCTAAGCTGTTTTGTAAATAGGTGACTCTTTGGTATATGTGTGTTATTTTGTAACCAGTCACAAGTTAATAAATGGTTTTTAATTACTTTCCAGCTAATTTTATTGAATCAGCTTTCAGTTAAAATAAGGTCATAAGTTTACCAATTCAAAGGAGCATTGATAAGTTACTTTAGCATTTAAAAATAAAACACAATAGAAGAATATACTTATTTTGATTTTAATTATTTTATAATGACATAATTGTACATATTTTGGGGTACAGTGTTATGTTTTGTTGCATGTATACATTGTATAATGACCAAATCAGAGTAATTACCATATCACTCATTTCTTTAAGGAAAATGTATTTAAATGTCAAAACGTTCTTTTTCTGAATTTGCCTCTATACCTTATGAACATAAAAAAATTTTATCAAAGAGTAGATTTTCAGTATAGATCTGTTGATTGAGATAAAATTGAAATAAAAATGGAACAAAATCAAAGCAAAATTAAGTTCATAAAAGTAAGGGTGTACAACTGAGCTTATCTGTATATACAGTAATATAGGAAATGTGATTTCTCCACTATGAGATATTGGAAATTTTAGTAGTGTAAAACCTTGCAGATATGTGCAGCAGAGCTTGAATCACATTCCTCAGTGTTTTGTTTCTTACAGATTGGCATGAATTTTCAAATATTCAGTTGTTTTACAAATGATTGTCTAGATAATTGGCAAGAACCAACTGAAAACTATTAGAATTTGTAACAGAGTTTAGTAAAGCAGCTAAATAAAACATAAGTACATACATACAAAGAGTTTTCCTTTATGCTGGCAGTAACCAGTTAGAAAGTGTGGGAAATAAAGACCTCTTTTCCAATAAAATTTGCTATAAAATATCTATATACTGTTGATGGGAGTGTAAACTAGTTCAACCATTGTGGAAGACAGTGTTGCGCTTCCTCAGGGACCTAGAAATAGAAATTCCATTTGACCCAGCAATCCCATTACTGGGTTTATACCCAAAGGATTATAAATCATTTCATTATAAAGACCACATGCACACGTATGTTCATAGTGGCACTGTTAACATTAGCGAAGACCTGGAACCAACTCAAATGCCCATCGATGATAGACTGGACAAGGAAAATATGGCACATATACACCATGGAATACTATGCAGCCATAAAAAATGATGAGTTTGTGTCCTTTGTAGGGACATAGATAAATCTGGAAACCATAATCCTCAGCAAACTGACACATGAACAGAAAATCAAACACCGCATGTTCTCACTCATAGGGTGGGTGTTGAACAGTGAGAACACGTGGACACAGGGAAGGGAGCATCACAAACTGCGGTCTGTTGTTGGGGGCCAGGGAGGGACGGGGGGTGGAGAGGTCAGGGAGGGATAACATGGGGAGAAATGCCAGAGGTAGGTGATGGGGGATGGAGGCAGCAAACCACATTGCCATGTATGTACCTATGCAACAATCCTGCATGAGCTGCACATGTACCCCAGAACCTAAAGTACAATTAAAAATAATTAATTAATTTAGAAAATATATCTATAAAACATGAAAAAATATATACCCAACTAATAGTTTAAAGGAATACTGATAAAGATAGCAATATATCAATTATTTTTTACAAACCAAATTGTAAAAAAAAAAAAATTTGAGGGCTGGTGAGGCAAGATAGAGTCTTTCCTGTTCTGATAGTGAGAGTATAGTTTGTAGCGGTATGCCCCTTTTGGAAAGCAGTTTATCCATCAGGAACATTTCATATTCTGCTTTTCTACCTCTAGTGTTCTAGCTTAGAAAATTACCAACATGTGGTTTAATATTTTCAAATACAAAGACATACACTTTATTCCTTTTTTTATTGTGGTAGCATATACATAACAAATTTACCGGTTTTAACCATTTTTAAGTGTCATTAAGTATATTCATACTGTCGTACAATATCATCACCATCTGTTTTTTGAACTTTTTCATCTTCCTAAACTGGAACTGTGTGCCCATTGCACAGTAATTCCCCATTACTTCACTCCAATGCTCAGAAATAGTAAAATGGGGAAATTAATTGTGGTATAATCAGAAGAGATTTGTCAGCTTTTCATTGAGTAAATATTTTGAGTTAAAAAAATACAGGGTACAGCTATGAAAAACATAAGTTGCAAAACTGAATGATATTCCAGTTTTGTTATGAAGAAAAACTTTATGTATGTAGAAAAATATCTCTAAGAAATATACCAAAATGTAGATGGTAATTAATTAGGAGAGTTATGGGTAATTTGTGTCTTCTAAATTTTTCTTAAAAAGTAATATTAAATTGAAAACATACTGACATTTACAGGTACTATTACCTAATTTGGACAAGATAGCAACATAGAGTTATATAGGAAATCGATCAAGTGGAAAGAGAGGTTCTGTAGCAGGCAGAGGGGATGTGGTGGTTTAAATGACAAAATTAGAGAAGCTTTAGCATAACAAAGGCTGTCTGTGTATCAGTGGTGGAGAGCTAAAGCAAGCATTGTAACTGTATAATATTTAACACTTTGTAAAGAGGCTTAAGGTTTCAGAGTACTTTTGTGCATTATTTTGTTTTAGCCTTATGGTTCTATGGGTTAAGTACACTAGATATATTCTACATTTTGCAAATAAAAAAAATTTCAGAAAAAACAACTTCACAAGATTGTATAATTTTTTTTTTTTTTTTTTTTTGAGACAGAGTCTTGTTCTTTCACCAGGCTGGAGTGCAGTGGCACAATCTCGGCTCACTGCAACCTCCTTCTCCCAGACTCAAGCGATTCCCCTGCGTCAACCTCCTAGTAGCTGGGACTACAGGTGCGCGCCACCATGCCCGGCTAATTTTTTTGTATTTTAGTAGAGACAGGATTTCACCATGGCCAGGATGGTCTCGATCTCCTGACCTCATGATCCGCCTGCCTCTGCCTCCCAAAGTGCTGGGATTACAGGCGTGAGCCGGTTGTTTAATAATCCTTGTCACCATAGAATGATAGTGCTGGACAGTAGTCTTACAATGCCAGAGTAACAAGTCAGTTTGCCTGTTCATAGTCTAGATTTATACATTTAAAGTGCAAATTGGCTATGGGACTATGCAAAAACATTTTGTCTAACTTGCTTTCTTCTGAAAATCCAACCATAATTTGAGCAAGTAACATTTTTAATTACTTGGAAATTAGTTATCCTGTTTAAATGGTTCAGTGGTTCTTGGCCTAGATGAGGTCTTTTTAAAAAATTGACACATAATTGTACATCTTTATGGGGTATAATGTGATGTTCTGAGACATGTATACATTGCGTGTTGATTAAATCAGGGTATTTAGCATATCCATTGCCTAATATACTCATTTCCTTGAACATTAAAAATCCTCTATTCTGGTTATTCTGAAATATACAATACAGTATTGTTAACTATAGTCACCCATTGTGCAGTAGAACACCAGAACTTATTTCTCCTTTCTAACTGTAACTTTGTGCCTATTGACCAGTCTCACTCCAGCTCCCACCTCATCCTGTCCTCTCCAGCATATCAGCAGAGGCTGGCCTCATAGATATAGAGTAGACTAGTGGTTGTATGAGGTCTCTGATTCCTTTGGGAATGTGATACAAGTTGTGAACCTACTCTTCAGAAATATGCACTTTGCACATGTGCGCTCAAAATTTTGCACCCAATTTCTATTCATTGTCACCCTGTGGGTTCTTGGTCACAGGTTCAGAAAGAACCTCTGATTTAGAATCCTTACAAATGCTGATTAGGGAAGAAAGGGTAAAGCGGGAGAAAGTCTAAATCTTAATTTGAGTTTATGTCAAGAACAGTGTTTGTGGTATTGGGCTTGTAGCTGACTTTATACTTAAGCATTAAGTCTGCTAAGTTTTTAACTTGTTTCAGAGTTGTTAGATTTTATTTTGATGTCTATTTCCAATTGCTTTTGTATCCATGACCCTTAACAATGAATTACTCATTGACTGAATGCTTATTTTTCACTATCCTTTAGTACATTTTGGAATAGAAGTTATATCAAACACATAAAAAATCTTGTGTTTATAAAGTGAAAAAATGTATAAATATGCATAAAAGTGTGATTTTTAGAAACAGTTGTGTTTTTATTTTAAGATAACAAAAAGTATTATTTTTCAATAGGAGAATCTTATTTACACTGCTGATCCAGAAACTTTTGAAGTAAATACAAAAGATATGGATAGTACATTGAGTAGAGCATCAAGAGCAATAAAAAAGACTTCAAAAAAGGTGAGTTTTAGTGAAATTATTATTAGACACATCTCTAACATATATTTTCCAGACTATTTTCAAACAATATTGCTGCAAACACCAGTGTAGTCTATAAAACAAAGCTGTTCAGCTCTAGGAAATGACCCACAGAAACAATAGTTTTACATCAGTGATGACTTTGCCACAATAACTATAACTTGTTATCCCTCATGTTATTGTAATAGTGATGCTTCTGTGAAGAAAGAAAGAAGAAATGTACTGTTGGTGTTTTAGATTGAAATATGTGTGCACTCATCTTAAATATATCACCACAGTTATTTTCAGGAAAGGGCACACGACAGTCATGGGACCTGGGATCTATTCCTGACTCTAGAAGTATATTTTAGTCTTCTCGTGATGAAGATAACTTAACTTACCTTATGAGAGTTTTGAAGACTACATAAGTATATCGATAATAGGCTTTTTAAAAGTATAATTAGAATGTTAGTGTTCCAAGAGAAATTCGCAGCCATATTCTCTACTGCTAGATTTTCAAGATTTGTTTTCTTTCCCTTTGTGGGGAGGCATTTTATCTTAATAATTTTTGAATCTCCTATCATTTAACATGTATGATGTATAAAAGAAAATCATGTTAGATTATTATTCAGTGAATTCCTTCACTCTTTCAATAAAGAAATAGAGGTTCAGGTGATTTTTGGATTAGAAATCTTAACAGCTAGAGTGGGTAATCAGACAAGATTCAGCCAGTCTGGTTTACCCTCTCCCAGGCTAGATTGTGTTTCTCCTCCTCCTTGCATTGGACTGCAGTGCTCTCTAAATGAAAGTTGGAATAGTCTACAAATTTCCTCACTGCTTTGTGCCAAAGAGATTCTAATCCTGCCACATACTACAGTAGAAAGACTTCTGCTATATATTTGGCTTTTTCATGTTTAAACATTCTTATCAGCTGTATTAAATTTCTCTAGGTTTAACCAATTGTAACTCTTAAACTCTAGGTTACAAGAGCGTTCTCTTTCTCCAAAACTCCAAAAAGAGCTCTTCGAAGGGCCCTTATGACATCCCACAGCTCAATGGAGGGAAGAAGTCCTTCCAGCAGTGATAAGCATGGAATGAGTCGTCTTTCAAGCACATCATCATTAGCAGTAAGTTATTTTGATTTAACAGGCTAAATGACTTATTCATATTTATGAAGTTGGTATGGAATTTAACTTTTAAAAATTGGAAATGTTTCTTCCATTCTAAAAAAATTTTAATAATGTATTTTATTTAACCCAGTATGCCAAAATATTATCATTTGAATGTGAATTGATGTAAAAATTATCAGTGAGATATTTTCATTCTTAAGCACTAAGTCTTAAAAATGTGGGGTGCATCTTATACTTACAAAGCTAGCTGCATTTCAGACTGGCTATGTTTCAGGGGTTTCATAGCCACATGTGGCTAGTGGCTCCTAGAAGGACAGCACAGCTCTGTACGCTAGCACCGAAGAATCAACATGAAATGCATGGCAGGGGAGTGGAGGTCTTCCCTAGTGCACTTCAGACCTTGGCATCTGAACAGTCATAGGTCATTTTTAAAATATGTGTGTCCAAACTTCTAACCTCTTTATTGAGTAAAGGCAACTGAGAAGACCCTACTACAAATGAACTAGAGACATACTTAATGTTTAGTTTGTTTGATATGAAATTTTATTGGGATTGAAATATGTTCTAAAATCTCTGAGAAAAGAAACATATTTCAGTCTGGCCTATCACTTTACTAATTAAATAACTATGATTTTATTTAGACAGATTGGTTCCAATAACGTAACAGAGACCGAGTTTTATTCCTTTTACTATTTTCATGATGAGTAGAATATAATCTCTGAAACAGAATTTCAGAGGATAGTATGGGTTCTAAATTCATACATACAATATATATTTATATCTATATATGTATGTATATTTAAAATCTTTCCTGATTAATCCAAATTTCCAACAGTTTCAGAATTATTTAATTATTAGATATTTAATACTATTACTAAATATTTGAGTGAAATATCTGTTCTTTATAAAATTACTGTTAACCTACTGAGGTTAAGCAAGTGACTGTCACTTCTTAGCTGTGTGTCCTGTGGCAAGTTTCTTATTCTCTCATCTGCAGAAATGCGGATGAGAGAAAAGATGTTAATAGTGCTTATTTATTCCATAATTTTCATTGTAAGGACTAAATAATATATATATTATATAATCACACATACATATATGATGTTATATACTGAGAGGCAATTTGGGTGGTGGTTAAGAGCATGGACTCTGGAACCCAAGTGTTCAAATCCTTGCTCTATTTACTAGTTGTATGTGTTTTGGCAAGTTATTAAAGATCTGTTTCAATTTCATTGTCTGTAAAGTGAGTCTTAAGTAGTTATCAGGATTCAGTGAGTTATATGTAAAATGCTTAGAACAGTACCTGGCACATTGTGAGTGCTCTAGTGTTTTATAAGTGATTTCTTTTTATTAAATAAAATTTTTGCAGGTAAGGCACATAATAGTAAATATATAAAGTTGGTTAAAGTGTTTAGTTAACACATCAGAGTTATGGCTAAATCTATCAGTATATTTATACAGATTTTTAATCAACATCAACCTTAACCAGTGGGAGAGAAGCTGCACTGCTTTACCTATTAATTTAAGTGAATAGACAAAGTAGTTTGGTCAGTTAAAATTGACAAATGCAGATTAGCATTAATTTTTGAGAATTAGATTATAGTTTTCTCACAGCCACCTGTGGCAACTATTGTTAACATTTTCATCTTTCCAATGAAGATAAATGAATTTTATAGAAAATTTTAAAAAGTTAATTTGTTATTTATGGTTATGTCACTTTTAATAGACAATATATGTAAGAAGCACCTAAAATATCTTCAAGACATTCATGTCATCTTCTCAATTGCTTGTTTCTGTTCTAACAGATTACCCATTCTGTTTCCACAAACAATGTAATTGGATTTACTAAGCATGTTTATGTGCAGCGCTCAAACTCTACTGGTGGGCGCTCTCAGTACTCCTGGTTTCCATCTGTACATCATTCTGCTTTCCGAGCTAGTTTTTCAGAGATACTAGAAGGAAATACTGATTTTTCAAATTTCAAAAAAGTTCTTTCCAAGTCATCTTTGACACTTGTGAAGAATTAGGAGATATGCCAACCACTAATGGAAACAAGCCTCATGAAGTTTAATGTGAGCTTATTAGCTATTTAAAATTTGTATTTGTAGGGAAAAAAAAAAAGGAACATATTTTTTCTCCAGGGAATCACTTATTTCGTGGGTGGGAACTTTGGAATTCACAATGTTATGACTGCTTTTAATTAATAACAATTTAGGCTTAATAGAGTTTCTTAAGTCCAGAAAAAATAAGTTCCATTAGAAATTTTCTTATTTAGGAAAATGATCATTTTAAAGAATAGTAATTTTATATTCCAAATCTGATTGTTAATGTTAGGTTTATAACATTTATATAAAATTATGCTTTTAATATGCCAAATCATAAAAGTTCCACCTGAGGAAAATGTGAACTTTTATATTATACATTTATATCATCATTTTGTTGATACTTGAATGATGATACTTTATCAACCCAGCTTTTAAAATGCTTCATTTTACTACCTTGTAGATGAGAACTTATAGCCAACTGCCTTGCTGGCTCTTAGTTACAGTTATGCCTTTACACATGTTAAAATAAAACAGTAGCCTTATAATTGATTTTGATTTACAGTTATTCTTGAGTCTTTGCATGTTTTTTGTTAGAGTTGTTTTATTTTAAAAAATTTTTAAGACCTCTTGGGGATGAAAAACTTAGCAATTTAATAATTGTTATCTAGAATGATTGCTGTTTCACTTAAATGTTACATGGAACAAAATTTTTTAAATTGTTTAAAAATATTTTTTAGAGGGCCAGGTATGGTCGCTCACACCTGTAATCCCAGCACTTTGGGAGCCCGAGATGAGCAGATCACGAGGTCAGGAGATGGAGACCATTCTGGCTAACAGGGTGAAACCCTGTCTGTACCAAAAATACAAAACATTAGCCAGGCGTGGTGACATGCGCTTGTAGTACCAGCTACTCAGGAGGCTGAGGCAGGAGAATTGCTTCAACCTGGGAGGCAGAGGTTTCAGTGAGCCGAGATCACACACTGCACTCCAGCATCAGGGACAGAGCAAGACTCCATCTCAAAAAAATAAATAAAAATTTTTTTAGAGACGGGCCTTGCTAAGTTGCCCAGCCTGGTCTTGAACTCTTGGCCTTAAACACTCCTCCCACATCAGCCTCCTGAGTAGCTGAGATTACAGTGGAACAAAATTATGTATATATATACATTCTCACACTCACATATGTACATCTGAGTTGCACATATATTACAAACACTCTTTAAGAGTGTGTAACTTACTTTTAGGAAACGATTTCCCATGAAATGATTTCATTCCTCTTAATTCTGCTTTATGAACTAAGAAGAAACCTTGTTTGCCAATTTGTCATTTTTTCTGTTATAACCCGAAACACTAGATCACTAATGCTTCATACATAGAAGATAGTTAGGTATCACTACTAGCAATAGGGCAATATCTGTTCAGTCGAGTTAATGTCTAGCTAACTGATCTGTCCGTTTGGTTTTATTTTCAGAATGCTAAAATAGTTTTGTTTTTTCTGCCTGTTCCATTCTTCTAATTTTAAAGAGTTTAGAATTGTCAGATGTCTTATACTTAATTGTTATGGTAATTTGTAAAATGTAAAAATAATAGGCATGATACTGAACTGTATTTTATAATTTTTTTAAAAGAAAATTTAAAATATGAAATATTTGTTTTGTTTTTACAGGGTATCCCTTCTCCCTCCCTTGTCAGCCTTCCTTCCTTCTTTGAAAGGAGAAGTCATACATTAAGTAGATCTACAACTCATTTGATATGAAGCTTTAGAAAATATTAAATTATAGAAATGTATAAACACCTCATACTCAAATAAGAAACTGACTTAAATGGTACTTGTAATCAGCACTTGGTGAAAGCCGTTAGGAAGATAAGTAACACTAAACTATGCTATTTGATTTTTCTTCTTGAAAGAGAAAGGTTTACCTGTTACATTTTCAAGTTAATTCATGTAAACACTGATAGTGACTTTGATGTAACTTATCTTTTTGTTTGAATCAGTCATTCAAAGACTAGTCATTTAAGATGCTATCAGCTGATATCAGTAGCTTTGCAACCCTGAGAGAGTAAATAAGTTTTATGGACAGGTGCCAAATACTGCTGTGAATCTATTTGTATAGTGTCCATGAATGAACTTATGAAGATAGATATTTATGCAGCTCAATTTATGCGGAGATTAAATGGCATTATAATACTGGATAAAAACTTGCATAGAATTCTGATTAAATAGTGGGTCTTGTTTCACATGTGCAGTTTGAAGTATTTAAATAACCACTCCTTTCGCAGTTTATTTTCTTCTCAAGTGTTTTCATGATCTAGCATGTGGATTTTAAAAGATTTGCCCTTATTAACAAGAATAACATTTAAAGGAGATTGCTTCAAAATATTTTTGGAAATTGAGATAAGGACAGAAAGATTGAGAAGCATTGTGTATTTTGCAAAAACAAGATGTTTGGTAGCTGTTTCAGAGACAGTACTGTATATTTATGGTGATTTTAGCCACTAGCAAATCTCAATTTAGTTTGATAGTGTGTGGAATTTTATTTTGAAGGATAAGACCATGGGAAAAATTGTGGTAAAGACTGCTTATACTCTTATGAAATAATTCTGAAGTTGCCATCAGTTTTACTAATCTTCTGTGAAATCCATAGATATGGGTATGTTCAACTTTTTATTGTGGTCTTATAATTAAATGTAAAATTGAAATTCATTTGCTATTTCAAAGTGTGATATGTTTCACAATAGCGTTTTTATAGTCAGTGATTCAGAATAATCAAGTTCATATGAATAAATGCATTTTTATTTCCTATTTCTTTAGGGAGTACTACAAATGTTTATCACTTAATTTTCAAGTATCCGTTTTAATAGTTTAACTGACTATAGTGTTTTCTATGCCACTTCTGAGAATAGTGAATGACTCTTTGCTATATTTTAAAAGCAATGTATAAGTAAGAACTTTGTAAATAAATACCTAAAACCCAAGTATATTTTATGCCTCATGTCTTAATTTCTTTGGGGAAATTTTCATAGGCAAATATGAATGCTTGCATCAACATATGCTCTTTTATATATTTGCTTGCTTATTTATTTGTTCCTTCCTCTGTAAATATTTTTGAGCATTTTGTTTTACTAGGCTGTCTGTAAGATAGGAATTTTTAATCCTGAATCTACTTTGCAAAATGTAGGTAATTTTATGAGGTTTGATGTAAAATTTTGTGTTTATGTGCATATATGCATTTTTCAGGCAGAAAATGTACAGTTGTTATCATTTTATTATAACTGTTTATTATTGTAGCTGTTATTTCCCCCAAGAGGGTGCGGTTTCCAGAGGCAAGAAATGACATGAGATAAGGCATAAAGCTGGAAAAGTATTGAGTGTACACTGGCAAAATATAGCAGGTAGTTAATTTTAATTTGAAAGAGAGTGTTTCTGGTTTTTACTGTTATCTGTCTACCTTAGGTTTTTAGACTATTCCTTGTTATCAGATGAAGACAGTTTGCATGTATTCACATTAGGATTCTGTATCACGCATGGATATTAAATACAATTAACTGTTTATTGAGAAAATCATAATTTAGGTTTTATGTATTATAAGAGCATTTTAAATTTCTTAAAGGCATTTAGGTCATCCAACAGTGTTATTTCCAAGAATGCAAGGTTAGTTCAATATCAGAAGATTTATCAGTGGACTTATCCTGACAATTTAAAGAAGAAAGACGTGATTTATCAGTAAGTTCCAAAAGGTTCTTTAACGGAAACTTAAGCCACTGTGTTTAATAAAAATTCTGAGGACTTTTGGCACCATGTCTTGAGTAGGCTACTACATTTAGAGTGGATGTTCTTCTAATAGAAACCTCAAGCATTTCTTGATGAAATATAACCAAGAAATAATTTTCATAATAACTGAGGTTAAAAGAATAATCTGAAAATCCTCAGGTATGAGAAATTAAGAACCAAAGCCATAGTGCTAAGTGTAGACTGATACCAAAAACTAGTTGAAGGGATTTGAGACCAATATATAAGCCTTAAAATGCTGAAACATTGATCCCTGACTCAGCCTAGCTGAAGGTAAGATCTTAGTTAAAAGCAAAAAGAGAAATGGAAAGGCATGAGGAGAGTAAAGAGATGTAGTAAATTGAATGTGCACCCCAGGTGCTGGAAATAATAAATCAATCAAAAAGACAATGTATTTGTAAGAAGGAATTCATACTGAATAATAGACATGACTTTTTAAAATAAATAAGCTTGACTGGAAAAAGAATCAAGTTGAACTTCTAGAAGTAAAACTAGAGACCTAGCTGAAGAGAAAACTGGTAAATTAATAGATAAATTTCACCCTCACAAGCCATCAACAAGTACTAAGAAGTGTTTAAGAGATGTAAAAAATGGAACATGAATATCCAACAGCTCTATAATAGGATACCTGGAGAGAATAATAGAAGGGCTCAGAAAGCAATATTTGAAGAGTTGAGAGTCTTCTAAAACTAGAAAAACATGAAACTTAAAATCAAGCATGCATGTCAAGTATTGAGCCAAGTCAATTAAAAAATTATCACTGAAAACATTATAGTCAGTATAGGAGAAAAATAAATGGAGAGTGCTAATGTGTATGAATAGAAAGATGTGAAAAGGATGCGAATTTTCATCAAATTACCTATACACTTAAATTCAGCTGAAAACTTAGTGGAGTTTTTAATAGAACTAAATACAAAAGAAGTCAATGTAAACAAAGTTGAAAACGAGTCACAGAAAAATGTCACACAAAAAACAAAGGATTTACATTTATAATGTAAGGAAAACTCCATTCTCTGAAAACAACCCCATAGAAAATTTGCCAGAAGATAGATGGTTCACAGAAAATGAAGAGTTATCATTAAACATGTAGGCTTATGAACCTTAAAAGAGAAAGTTCATTAAAACTAACATACCATTTTTAATCATCATTAGAAATCTATTTGACAGTATTTCTGCTGGTGGGGCTGTGGGTAAACATACTCTCACATGTGTCTGTTGTGAATATAAAAATGACTACAACCTCTATGGAGGGAAATGTAGCACAGGCACACCTGAGAGAGACTGCAGATTTGGTTGCAGACCACCACAATAAAGCAACTATCTCAATAAAGTGAGTCACATGTATTTTTGGTTTCCCAGTGAGTATAAAAGTATGTTTACACTGTACCGTAGACCATTAAGTGCAATAGTATTATGCCTAAAAACAATTGTATATACCTTAATTTAAAAATACATTATTGCTTAAAAAGTAAAAAGCTAAAGATCATCAGAGCCTTCACTGAGTCAAAATCTTTTTCCTGGTGGAGGATCTTTAAAATACTTTTCTAATTATGGATACGTAATGTTTATACATATTGATGGGTTCATGTGATATATATTTTATCTTTTTAAAACTTTTAAGTTTTTCTTTTCTTTTTTTTTTTTTTTTTAAGACAGTCTCATTCCCTCCATAGCTTTATCTGAACCACTTACTGACATTCTTTGTTCCTTCTGCTGCTGCTTTTGAACCTCCTGTGCAAGTCACCTTTTAGGGTTCTTCTGAAAGAAGTATCTAGCAGCAAAGGCTTATCCTTGTTGAAAAACAATTGCAGGCTTAACTAAATTAGTTGAAGTATCTTTAGATACGGTAGTAAGCTCACCTTTAAATCTGATGGTACCAGATGTCTATTAATCTTTTCTTGCACTGCTATAAATACTTGAGACTGGATAATTTATAGAGATTTAATTGGCTCCCAGTTCTGCATGGCTGCACAGGAAGCATGGTGGCATCTGCTTAGCCTCTGGGGAGGCCTCAGGAAACTTACAGTCATGGCAGAAGGTGAATGTGAAGCCAGCACTTCACGTGGTCAGGGCAGGAGGGAGGGAGGGAGACAGGGGGAAGGTGCTACCCACTTGTAAACAACCAGATCTTGTGAGAACCCTGAGAACAGCACTATAGGGGGATGGTGCTAAACCATTCATGATAAACCACCCGCGTGATCCAATCACCTCCCACCAGGCTCTACCTCCTGCATTGGAGATTACATTTCAACAGGAGTTTTGGGTGGAGAACACAGATCCAAACCATATCAACATGCAATACGATTTTCTCTCCCTTTCTTACAGAAAAGTTGGTATATAATAATTACTGTTCTGCAATCTTGCTTTTATCGCTTCAAAATATGGGTTCATGTGATATATATTTTTTCTTTTTAAAGCTTTTAAGTTTTTTGTTTTGTTTTTTTTTAAGACAGTCTCGCTCTCCATAGCTGCATCTGGGAATCACTCTATATTTGTATATAAGTTCTTCATTTCTTTTTACAATTGCAGAATACTCCACTGTGTGAGTAGACTCTATTGTATTCACCCAATCCCCTATTAATGAACATTAGTTTCTAGTGTTCTACTAAAATGGTGCTGCAAGTTTTGTGAATAGGTCATTTTGTGTTTCTGTCAGCATATTTTGCAAAAAAAAAAGTTCATATAGGATTACTAGGTCATAAGATAAATGTATATAGTTTTGGTAGATAGATATGGGCATATTTTGTTTTATTGCACTTAGCAGATAGTGTGCTTTTTACAAACTAAAAGTTCATAGCAGTTCTGTTTTGAGCCAGTCTATCGGCACAGTGTTTCCAACAGCATGTGCTCATCTCGTGTCTGTGTCACATTTTTGTAATTCTTGCAATATTTTATACTTTTTAATTATTATACCTGTTTGATGATCTGCGATCAGTCATCTTTGATGTTATTTTAATTGTTCTGGGACACCAAAAACCACACCCATCTAAGACTGCAAACTTTATTGCTAATTGTTGTGTGTGTTCTGACTGTTCCACTGAATAGCTGTTCCCCAGTCTCTCCCTCTGCTTGGATCTCCCTAATTCCTGAGACACAATATTGAAATTAGGCTAATTAATAATCCTACAATGGCCTCTAAAAAAATTACTAAACTTAGGGAGGCATGTTGAAAGCAGAGATAGACTGAAAGCAAGGCCCCTTATGCAATAGTTAGCCAAGTTGTGAATGCAAAAAGAAAGTTATTGAAGGAAATTACAAGTGCTACTCCACTGAACATGTGAATAATAAGAAAGCGAAACAGCCTTATTGCTAATAGAAGAAAGTTTGAGTAGTCTAAAGATCAAACCAGCCACAACAGTCCCTTAAGCCAAAGCCGAATTCAGAACAAGCCCGTAACTCTTTCAATTCTATGAAGGCTGAGAGAGATAAGGAAGCTGCAGAAGCTTGAAGCTAGCAGAGGTTGGTTCATAAGGAAAGAAATGGTCTCCAAAACACAAAAGTGCAATGTGAAGCAGCACGTACTGGTAGGAAAGCTACAGCAAGTTAACTAGAAGAGCTGGCTAAGATAACTGAAGAAAGTGGCTATGCTTAATAACAGTGAGATGGAGTTTCACTTTTACGGCCCAGGCCGGAGTATAATGGTGCGATCTCGGCTCACTTCAACCTCCGCCTCCCAGGTTCAAGTGATTCTTCTGTCTCAGCCTCCCAAGAAGCTAGGATTATAGGCATGCACCACCATACCCAGCTAATTCTTTGTATTTTTAGTAGAAACAAGGTTTCACCATGTTAGCTAGGCTGGTCTCAAACTCCTAACCTTAGGTGATCTACCCACCTTGGCCTCCCAAAGTGTTGGGATTATAGGCATGAGCCACTGTGCCCAGCCAATGTAAGACTTTAATAGCAAGACAGAAGTCAATGCCTGTCTTCAGGGCTTCCAAGAAAGGCTGACTCTTTTGTTAGGGGCTAATACGGCTGGTAACTTATGTTCATTGACTGTTTTGAAAATCCTAGGGCCATTAAGAATTATGCTAAATAGATTTTGCCTGTGCTGTATAAATGGAATAACAAAGCTTGAATGACAGCACATCTTTTTATAGCATGATTAAACTGACTATTTTAAGCCCACTAATGAGACTCTTGAGTGGTTTCTTGAGATAGAATCTACTCCTGGTGCAGTGAACATTGTTGA